AAGCCTGAGTGGGAGGGGAGTTTGGGAGAGAACGGATACAGGTATATTTATGGCTGAGTCCCTTTGCTGTGCTCCTGAAACTATCACAGCGTTGTTAACTGGCTATACTCCAATATGAGAGAAAAAGTTTCTTAAAAAAAAGATACCTGCCTATAGAGTTTGTTACTTGTGTTTACTGCTTTCATTGTCAAGTGCTTGAGTATACCAGACAGTTCTCAGTTTTTTTATCCCTACTCCCCAGTTTTCTCTAACAGAAGTGTGTTAACCTGACTAAAGTTAATTAATGTGAGTAGTGGATTCTATACTAGGAGTGGTAGTGATAGAGGAATGTAATTATGCAGATACTTTTGTTTTACAAGGAAAAAAAGAGCAGTTTGCTGCTCTTTTTGAATGTCAGACATTTTTGATCTCCAACCCTCATTATATTGAGTTGACTAAAATGTTCATTTGGGTTTTTCCATAGCATCTTATGGAAAAAGTCAAATAAACTTTTTGGCCCACCCAATACATTTGGGCTTAGTGAAGTCTCTGTAGAACTTTGGTTTATGTGGTTATAACCATCACTGTTCACCATGTTGAAAATGGAAACCTTAAAAATTGTTAAGTACCTGTTTGTCAATTAATCTACAGTAGACAGCAATGATGAACACAGTACCTCTTAACAAAAATAAGGTCTTGGTATATTGTGAAAATAACTGACTTCATGAATACTCTGAGGGAGAGCTGCTGACCTAAAGTATCAGTTTGTCTCAGAACATGAAATAATAAAGGATAAAACTTGGAAGGTGAATTGTATTTGTTTTGTTTAGAATGACCGAGCTTTTGAAGAAAAAGAAACAATAAAATGTATTAAAATCAAGAAAATTTTGTTCAAAAAATTCTATCACTTACCAGTTTGTGTGACTTTAGATCATTCATTTATGTGGCCACTTATTGCCTCGGTTTTCTCCTCTGTAAAACCAAGAGAACACAAAATTCATATGCCTTGGAATTATTGTGAAGTCCAGTGAGTTATCTCTGAAAAAGACTTAGGACGGAATCTGGCGCATGCTAAGTAGAGCATGGGTGTTGGCGGCAGTTGCTGCTTTTATCACTGTTGAGACGCTGCTTCCTGCATTGCTCTGTTGTGGCAGAAGGAGCTTGGGATCTAGAGCTAAAGAAACTGGTAGGCACAGATGCTGGGAATGGGCACCCTCTGGGGCTCCTTTCCTGAGCCTTCACATGAGGGCATCAGACTGTCCCAAGAGTCTGCCTAGCTGCAGACAAGTCTGGGATACCCTTACGTCACAAAAAGTTTTATTCAGTACATGATGTCTGTGAGGCTGGGACAGCCATGTGCACACAGGCCCCTAGTTTTCAAAGGATGGCTGACTCTGGGGAGAACCATAGGCTCTGACTTTAAGCCTTGACTATATCACTCCCAACTCCAGGATCTTACACAGATCTCTTCTGTTTAAGGCTTTGTCTCCTCCCTGCCATGTAAAAGTGGGATAATAAGACCATTTTCCAGGGTCTGTGTTGGGAATGAATAGTTGTGTTTGGTGAAGGTCCTGCAGAGTGCAGTGGCTTGGTGCTCAGGAAATGGCAACAGCTCTGAGTATTGTGATGAATGAAAAATTCTGGCCTCAGATCCTGTAAATCAAAATACCCTAACTCCTTAAATCATCCACATCTCTGAAGACCAATAAATACCGTGGATTGCGTATTGGAGAATGTGGGTGAACTAACTGCATCCAGGCAAGGGGGTGACTTGCTTGGGATTGAGTCAGAAGGAATTTGCTGGGTTTGTGACGGAAGGGAAGTCCATAGCCGTGGTGGTGGTCAGAGTAGTCAGGAGCTGAAATCCCAGATGCGAACCAAGATCAGTGATTACAAGCGGCTGTAAAAGTGATGGAGGGATTGAGTGATGGACTGAGTTTAACTGGACATCTACACTCTGATCCGCGTTCAGTTTCCTTCCTTTAATGGCTGAAAAATTTGGAGGTCAGCGCTCCTTCCTCCCCCAGCCAAGAACAGTTTCATTTTTTGCTTTAATTCTGTCCACCCTATCTTTTCTTGCCTCTATTTGCCAATTTATTCAATAAATACTTATTTCACTTCTATTATTACCAGGTCCTGAAGTTGCAGTAGTCAAACACACATGTACACACATATAAACATGTACACACGCACACACATATATATATACACATGTGTTCTCCAGTCCTCCCTTTGTACAGTTTATGTGCTAGTTGAAGAAAATAGAAAATTTCTTTTAAAAAGTGTTTAGTAAAAGATATAGTTTGTTCTTTTAGGACTGTTGGGTGTTTTTCTTTTTTTGTTTTTTTTTGACACTGCTATTTAGGGAGTTGTGTGTTCCCTTTCTTCCTCCTTAACCCATCCTTTCTGATCCTCTTCTGTAGGATATGCTAAACTCCGTTTTTAGTCTGTAGACTTGGAGCTTTTGGTGTGTATAGATTAGATCACCTTCTTTGTGTGTATAGAATCTTGGTCAGTCTCTCTCTTTCTTCCTTTCCTCTCCTCTCCCTCTCCCCTCCTGGAAGATAGTAATCTAACTCCAACATCCATGATACGATGACTTGCCAAATGCTCTATTTCTCTATTTCTGGCTACGGTTACTAAGGAATTGTAAGAAGGCACTGGAAAACAGCACTTGGCCTCTTCTTAGCTTTTATTCAGATTGGCTGTTTTCCAAGCCCCAGAAGATCAATGATGCATGTAGTGCGAAAGGGCAGCTGCAGGGTCAGGGCGTATTTATTGCTTGCTGGGGCATGTTATTGACCAATAAGAAGTTAAACAGTGCCTGGCTATACCGGTTAAGACGTTGCCTTTGAGCCAGGAAGATAAGAGATCACCTCAGGCCACTACCACTTACATGGACAGATGTACAAATGGACTTGATGCCTGTAGCGCTAGGCATTCCTGTGTCTACTAGAATTTCAGCTTGTTTGGTCCTGGTAGAAAGAACACGTTCATGACGCTGAGCCTTTTTTGACCCAGTTGTCCTCAAGGTGGATAGGGATTGATCACTTTGAAACCTCTGTAGGTACACCCAGGTTCTCTGCAGGTACCAGTTCATGGTGCCTGATGCTGATCTACCTCTTCTGTGTGTCTCTCTCCCTATGTATTTATCCATCTACGTGTCATCTACCTACATCTCTGTCACTTCTATAACATCTCTATCATCTATCTTTATACTTTACAAACCTATTTATAATTTTCTCTCTTTTGAAACTGTCTTTAGGCATGGAATGAGGGACAGACAGGAGATTCTGGTAACATTTGATAAATACAAACACACTTTGCATGTGCTTAGATGCATAAGGAACTCCAGAGGTGCTTTATTCAAGAAAAAAAAATCCAACTCTGTTTATATGTATACATATATATACACACACACTATATATATATATTAAAGAAATATGTAGTGAAAATCTCCTTTTAGCTTTATGTTGTTTTCTGAAGCTCAGCTCTGGGGTTTATGTTCTGGCTGTGAAAAAAAAAAATTTATGAACTTATTAAAGAATATTTCTTTTCCTTTTTCTTCCTAAATGTCAAAAGTACTATTTGGGTGAAGTATTGACTGAGGAAGGAGAGGCTGGAGCAAGGAAAATAGCAGGAATCCAGATTAAAAGGCCCTAAAGAGTAAAAGCTAGTATTCTCCTGTCTCCCCACCCTGCTGTGAAATAGTTGTTTCACTTTGGTTCTTTGAATGGAAATAACATTGAGGATTAGGCTTTCATGAGCCTCACAGCATTTGAGATTCCTGTGTTTTTCTTTTTTTAAATTAATTAATTAATTAATTTTTCATTTATTTTTATTAGTTGGAGGCTAATTACTTTACAGTATAGTAGTGGTTTTTGTCATACATTGACATGAATCAGCCATGAGATTCCTGTGTTTTTCTAACCACCTGCCTTAGAGTGAAACATTTTAGCATGTTAAGGATGTGTTTTGTGTGTAGGAGGGTTAATCAGTAAATGGCATTAGAAGTTTAAGAGTATCTAAAACTATATCTAAAAGCACAGATATATTTTGGATTCTATTGTTTAATCATGTTTGATGAATCTGCAAGAATGGTAAGCAGTATGTATCTGAATTAAGAAGGGTTGTTGGGGTGGGGGCGCCTGCCCGCTGTCGTGACCACCTGTACTGTCTGCAGCTCTCATCTTTATGTGATCGACATGTAGGAGTTAAATTGTGGAGCATCTCCTATCAATTGGACTTCACTGGTGGCTCAGATGGTGAAGAATCCGCCTGTGATGTGGGAGACCTGGGTTGGATCCCTGTGTTGGGAAGATCCCCTGGAGAAAGGAAAGGCTACCTATTCCAGTATTCTGGCCTGGAGAATTCTATGGACTGTATAGTTCGTGGGGTCGCAAAGAGTCAGACACGACTGACTTTCACTTTCACTTTCCTAACAATTTATCCAGAATCATCCCTCTTATAACTGTGAATCATATATTGACTTGTTTGGTGGTTGGGCCTGATTTGATTACATTTTCATTGTTTCAGGTTGTGGGAACTGTTTTGTGCAGAAATCTGGTTGTTTTCAGCACTAGAGTCAGGGGTTCCATTGTGTACCAGTAATTCTGGGAAACACTGAAGTAGACCAACCAACTTTGTAAATGATGGTACTGTTTGATTACTGTTGACTTTTCACAGTCTCCTTTAAAATCTGTGCAGCAGCCTCTCCTTCTGGAATTTCTGAAAGGGTGAGGAGGAAGTGAATGGCTATTTCCCTAGGACCTGCTATGTCCCGGGCATTGTCTTCTATGAGACAGACTTGCCCTTCTTTCTCGGAAACCTTGGGCCGGTACCTTCGTTTTACTTGCCCTTCTTTCTCGGAAACCTTGGGCCGGTACCTTCGTTTTACAAGTGAAGAGAGAGGTTAGCAGATAAGGGCAGGCCCACCCAGTTAGAGAGGAGCGAGCTCGGACCAGAACATGGTGCTGACTTCTGTGCCTTTATCTTTCTGCTTCTGTTTCTTGAAAATGGGCTCATTCGGACTCCTTTGGGGTTTTACCACTTGGCCTTTTGGTAAGAAGGGCCTGGAAGCCTTCACCCGTGTTCAGCTGTCTTGTATCTGTGTGAAGGGCATGGAGCGCTTTCTTCTTTGTTGTTCTTGTTTGCAGGATCAGCCTCGTTCTACCAACAGGAATAAACTCCCCCCCTAAAAGTGCAGGGTTTACCATTTGCGTGAATGGCAGTGGATTCTCGCTCTCAAGGTCCATGTTTGCGGAAGCACAGGAGTGCCAGTTCCGAGAGGAGGCCCCAGGGAAGCCGGCAGAGGCAGGATGACGCCACTGGTGAGGCAGGGTCCCGCGAGCTCTTCGGAGGGCAGAGGCGAGCCCTGGTCACACAGAGCTTTGTACTAAACCAGAGGCATTTAGGCCAGCGAGGTGGGAGATGGAGAGTGAGAAACACCCATCTCGGCCAACAGTTGCTTATTAGCTTGTTAAGAGAATAGTTTATTATTTCTTTTCAAGAGCTATATGAGGAGGCCAAATTCAGAAATAATCAAGAGTGAGCTTTACCAGGCAGGGCATCTCAGGACAGCAGTGTTTGTGTCATTTGAACTGCCTTCTGGAATAATTCTGACAGTGTGCAAAATGGCCTGGGAAAGGCTTGGAGAGGGAAACTGAGGCAGGAGGCGAGATTCTGTACAACCTGGGGAGGCTGGCTGATGAGAGCCTACCTTTGGGGGATTTCCTTGCATGGGAGGAGAACTGCTGTTAACTGAATTTTTAAAATTTCAGGTTGGGGTCTTGAGGATTGCCATGTGAGGAAGACCTAAGTTTTACTGTGGAAAAGAACTGAACGAGTATAGAACTGTGGGTTAAATGGTGCTTCCTGCACATTTTGTTTTGTTGGATCCCATGTGATCACACAAGCCACTAAGGATGTCAGGGAAGTAGCATCTGGCTGGGATGGCCGTGTTCATAGATTGGCCAGTGTGTGGGTTTGGGTGAAAACCTGAGCTCCTGGCTTTGTTACCTGTCAGAGTTCTCACCTGATTCTCAGGTTGTGTGCTCTGCTTTCCTTATCTCTGGTAAAAACAATCTGGACAATTGATGAATCCAGTGACCTTCGAGGCAAGCAATTTTTCTTTTTATAAACTTGGCACCTAAAGGAAATGGGTTTTGTAATTTTGTGGCTTCATCTGCATTGGGATATTAATGGAACAGAAATTGTGCTTATTAACTTATAAAAAATAATCAGAATAATCTAATCTGAGCTAATGCTTTCAGACAAAGGCCAGAATAGGCTGTTTACTGTTCTCTGCCTCTACCAAATGATAGAAAACATGTATGTCAGTTCAGCCAGTTGATTTGCTTTAATTTTTCTTGATCACTTTTCCAAAGCAATTTCTGTTTGAGGTAATGGCATTAACCCCTTGTCTTTTAGTCAGTTATAAGGGGTTGCCTGACTATGGCTCAGACCCTTAACAGGAAAAATTTATCAACCTTGACCTATATTAATGAATATGGCTTTGTTGTATCTGTGCATTTATAATAAATTGCAAACCCTTCTTGAACAAAAGTAGGGGTGGAAACCTACATACGTATCTTTCAGTGTATCCTGTGTGCGTTAGTCGTTCAGTTGTATCTGACTCTTTGCAACCCATGGACTGCTCTGTCCATAGGATTCTTAAGGCAAAAATACTGGAGTGAGTTGCCATTTCCTTCTCCAGGGGATCTTCCCAATCCAGGGATCAAACCTGGGTCTCCTGCATTGCAGGCAGACTCTTTACCATCTGAGCTACCAGGGAAGCCTTCAGCGTATCCTAGTTGGTCATATTGGGAAGAAAATTAGCCCTTCCCATGGTGACTTGAAAGAAAAAAAAAAGAAAAAGGGAATGGCCACCATACATACCAGGAAGGGCCAGTGCCTAAATCCAGGCTGTAACTTGGAGAGCCAATTGAAGGCATTTCATCTTCTCTCTCAGTTCATGCAAGAGCAGGATAAGACCACAGAGAAGTGTTCCACAGTGCAACTGGTGTTCTCCTGGTCTGCAGCCAGAAGAGGTACTGGTGGAAATTTTAGCTGCTTCTCGTATAAAATGTCAACTGCTCTGCTCAGCACAAGCTGAGGGTCGGTGACAGGGACTGAGTGTTCAGTTGTGTTACAATAAATCATTTCAACAACGACTGTTGGCTCCTTACCTGTTGCTCTCTGCTTCCTCCTTTACAATCCTGCATTAAGGAATGTAGGCATAATGGAGTTTTGCGAAGGGTCTCAGAATTTCTAATAAGAAAGACTGTTCTTCCAGTTGCTATGACTGCATCACAAATGACTCCAGAATTTACTGGCGTAAACAGCCGTTTATTATGTTGACAGATTCTGTAGGTCAAGCATTAAGACAAGGCAGAGCACAGATGACTTGTCTTTGTTTCTTGATGTATGGGGCCTCGGCTGAAGAGCTCAAATGCTGGGGCTGGAATCATCTGAAACAATGCTGTCTAAGAGAACTCTCCACAGTGATACAAAGATTCTATATCTGCACTGTCCAATATAGCAGTCACTAGCCACTCAGAACTGTTGAGCACCCGAAATATGGCGAGTGCAATATGGAATTAAACTTATTTAGTTAATTTGGATATACATAGCTACTAGTGGCTGGCTTGTGGCTACCATATTGAACAGTACAAATCTAAAGACTTGTTTTCATAGCTAGGTATAGATATGTACTATCCAATATGGTAGCCATGGGCCACTAGTTAACATTTAGTTGGGCCTGCCTGTCTCCAATGGAATACCTCTTTGTGACTTCTCCTTGTGGCCTGCTCTTCCTCATCACATGGCAGCTGGGTTCCAAGGGTGATGTTCTTGAGAGGAGCCAAGGAACTGACCTACCACTGGAGTAGAGAGTGTTTCTTCTACTGTATTATATTCATCGAGGCACTTACAAAGTCCCATCCAGGTTCAAGAGGAGGGGCAATAGACTTCATTTATTGATGACAAGTGGTAAGGTTCTGGAAGAGCGTTGGGACTGGAAACATTGCTGTAGTTATTTCTCGAAAGTGTCTTTCTGCCAGTGGTGCTCCAGGTACCCAGTCTGTTCACTCATTTATTCACGCAGCAGACATTGAGCACCTTCTCTGTACCCGCATTACATTTTTTAGGGGGGATAGCAGTTGAAAGTAGTGAAGCTTATAACAGAGTGGACAGGGTGAGTGGGGAAGGCACTCAGGTATTTCCAAGGCAACGTGAAATGTACCGTGATAATATGTAGAAAGTAGAGATGATTTGTTGAGACATATAGGAGTCTATTTGAAGAAGCCACATGGAAACTGTATTTTAAAGTAATTCGAGAGGGACTTCCCTGGTGGTCCAGTGGTTAAGATTCCATGCTTCCACTACAGGGGGATGTGGGTTCAATCCCTGGTTGGGGAAATAAAATCCTGTATGCCATGCAGTGTGGGCCAAAAAAAAAAAAAAGTTATGCCAGACTAAGGAGTGTGCCAGGGAGGGACCAGTAATTTAGGCAAAAGGACAAGCTTATTGAGAATCAGGCGAAAAGCTAGGCTTTTCCTAGGGCTATCTCAAAACCAAGAGCTTGGTCAAGAAGGAAGACTGTACAGTTGCCCTGCCAACCACATCCTTCATTTCCCTTGTGTGTGTCCCCACCCACACTCTGCATATTGAGAACCAGCCGCACACCCAGCAGGTCACCAAACCAGAAAAATCCATAGCCCACGGGGATATCATTGATGAATTACCAACAAGTTGCCTGTCAGCAGGAAACATGGATTGGATTAGAGAGTCCTCATACCATGCCGGCTTTTCTAAAGAAGGTCTGGCTCTGAGAGAGAGGAACAAAGATGCCTGAACACATGGTCAGCATTGAAAGCAAATATTGATTGGCCCCTGCCTGGGGAGCCGAGCTACAGTGGGTTAGAGTCTGATGTCAGAAACTGCTGGGGTGGAGAAAACTATTAATTGTGCTGATTGACTAAAATAAAAGCTCCACCTATTTTTAAGATCTCAAAAATGAGGGGGAGTTATTTAAGCGGGTGGAAGGGCAAAGGGGTGGTTAGAACCCAAGCCTCGGGCTAAGGCACTTTCTTTGAGTTGGCCTCTGTTACTCTGGCCTGGATATCCTTTTCTATCTCGTGTTTCACATGGTGCTTCTCTGGACCTGCGTCTGTTTCTTAATGTGCTGCAGAATTCACTTAATTGAGTATGAATGTCCAAACAGCTGATGTTCAGTGGTGTTCAGATTTGGGATTCAGACCGTCTGCTGGCTGTTATTAAACTGGTAGAAAAATGCTCTGGCTGTATCAGATTGCATCTGACTGTCGACTGGGTTAGAAATATCTCCGTTCACTAGCAGATGTACAAAATACTGGAAAGCGAGCCTTCTCTTTAGCAAATTAGACTAGCCAGCTCCATGGATCTAGATTGACTAAAATAGCTTGTTGCGCCAGGGATAAGGCTGGTTGGGCTCAGTTCATTCCTTTAAAGTCTGATCAAGTCTTTTAATTGAAGATTTTCAAAACTTGCTCCTTTACTTTGAAACCTGTCCTGTGTTTGTCTTCTAGAGTAGCATTCTCCAGTAGAACTTTCTGCAGTAAAAATGGTCTAAATGTGCATGGTAACCATTAGCCACATGCGGATATGGAATGCTTGAAATGTGGTTAGTGCAACCGAGGAGCTCAATTTTAAATTTAAGTGTAAATAGCCACATGGGGCTAGCAGCCACCCCAATGGGCAACACAGTCATGGGTGTCTGTTTTTAGAAATAATATTTGCTGCCGTGATCATGACAGCTTTGCTAGCTTTCTAGTTTTTTTAAATAATTTTATTTATTTATTTTTGGCTGTGCTGGGTCTGTGTTGCGGTTTGGGCCTTCTCTAGCTGAGGAGTGCGGGGGCTGCTCTCTAGTCGCAGCGCCCGGGTTCCTCATTGCAGAGGCTTCTCTTGGTGCGGAGCACGGACTCTAGGGCATGCCGGCCTCAGTAGTTACCACATGTGGGCTCATATAGACTCCTGGACTTTAGAGCCCAGGCTCAGTGGTTGGGGTGTACCGGCTTCATTGCTCCGAGACATATAGGATCTTCCCAGGCCATGGATCGAACCCATGTCTCCTGCATTGGCAGGTGGATTCTTTACCACTGAACCACGGGAAGCCTGACTTTCTAGTTTTTTGAGCAATATCTTAACTCAGGAGTCCAGTCTTTCCTCCAGCAGCAATCTGTGGAAAGAAGCATCAGTTGAGGCGGGCGGGTGG